CGCCGCGCCTCCGCAGCCGAGGGCGCTAGCAGCTGCAGGAAGCGTCCTAGTGCTCGCCTCCTCACCATTCTTGGGGCGAGTCGGAACCCGGTCCGCGGCCTAGGCCGTAGCTAGGGCCGCTTCATGTTACCCAGTCACTGACTCATTGTGACCTTCGAATTTGGCAGCCCTACAGCGTCAGCCCAGCGCGGACATTCGTCGCGGTTTTACCAAGATGGCCGCCCCCGCGGGCCCCGGCGTGAGGCCGCCTAGGTAAAGGAGGCGATGCAGGGACGTGCGCGCGCCTCTGCCCGGGCCCTGCCTCGCGACTCACACTCCGCAGGGGCCCTTCCAAGACCATGCCCTAAACCAGAGGCTAACTTTCAGATTGCACGAACACATTCCTGCACATCATCCCCAAGTTGCTAAAAATGTGATCCTGTTTCTCACATCCTCCGCAGTCACAGTAGACACGCACCTGGCAGCAGCATACTTAGAGCCTATGTTGCTATGAGCCTAGTAGCAAAAACACTAACCTGTAATTTGTAATGTGTACAGTAGACGTTGAATATTAGTGGCAGCACTGCCTTGTCCCAATGTGTTCATTTACTTTTTAAAAGATGTCACAGCCTCCTGGTACGGTTCTCATCTAAATTTTTGTCTTTTTTCTAATCCCAGGATGCTGACAAAAGAGCATAAAATTGTGATTCCGATTTGCTTTTTAAACTGCAGGATGAATTAGCTGTTTCAAGAAGTAATTTAAATATAGGCCCATGGAAATAGAATTCAACAGTGGGTGGTTGGGCAAGGAGATCCTCTATAAAAGTTCTCTGGGGTATAAATGTGGACCAGAAAGACCTACTGTTTGAGGTTCTGGGTATTCTTGTCTTGGCAAAAAAGAAACACAGGCCCTAAATGCAAATATAACTTGTGGAAAAAGCAACCCAAACTCTTCTGCATTTTGAAAGCGATTATGCCTGTGTGCTATTGCAGTAAGGAGAAGGTTATGTTAGAGTGTGGATTTTATCCCCTCAGGCCAGCTGGCAGTTGCTGTTGAGTTTTATTGACTTACTGATTAAGAGCTGCTTGAGCCTGGGTGGGGCCGAGACTGCATGGGCTGAATAGTACCCAAGGTGCAGCAACAAAAAAGAAACAGCCCTCAAACTCAAAGGGTAAATTGAACTTACTGCTTACAAGTTCTTCATAGTCCTTTGGCCAAGAAACTTTAAGAAGCTCTTTGTTCCCCCATTCTAATTTTTTATTTTGAAAAAATTTAAATATACAAAAAATAGACATGCCTTTTTGTTATAACCCACTGCTTTGGAGTCGATTCCAACTCAGCAACCCTATGGGATAGATAGAGTAGAACTGCCCCATAGTGTTTCCCGGGAGCGGCTGGTGGATTCAAACTGCTCACTTTTAGGTTAGGAGCCAAAGCTTAACCACTGCGCACCAGGGTTCCAAACAAGTGATAGATATAAAAATATTTCACCCCTATATACCTTAGCCAGCCTCTCCTAAGGATAAGGGCATTTGCTTTATAACCGCCATATCATTATAATTCCTAAGAAAATAACAATAGTTCCCTAATATTCAGTTCATATTCAAATTTCCGTGATTGTCCCAAGAATGTCTTCTATCGCTGGTTTTTGTTTTGTTTTGCTTTCTGAACTAGGATCTTATCTATTCTCATGTATTACGTTTGGTTGTTATGTTTAAATACGAAGCAACTTGAAATGTTCACTTGCTAACTATTTTTTTACACATCCTACTCACAGATATTATGAAGAGACAAATGTTCACAGAGTGTTTTTCATTGAGAGCACATGCTTTAGATAAGCATATCTCTGTATACTCCAGCAAAATCCTGGGAGAAATGAGTGAATGTTCTTTTAACACAACATTGAGATTATAATTGAAGATGTATTAATCAAATAGTAGTGTTTATGCTTTCTTAACTCCTGAATACTACATAAACTTTATGGATTGTGTTGGAATCTCAGCCCAACACAATTTCTAAAGCTTACTGTTTGGATATTTTCTAGACAATGAAAAGAAGCTGTTCAGTGTAATAATTTATATCACTCCAGGCAAAATTTGGCTTGCTGTGCTTCACAGTACAAAACTTCTAGCTTGCTCTGCTTCAGAGTACAGAACTAAATGAACTTTGCATCATCTGCATTTTACTCCTGACCTGCTGACCTGGGCTTTATTTGTCCTTTCTTTTTATGCCACCCCTAGGAAGTCCGGCACTCAGCACGTAATGATAACTATTTGTCTTCTAAGTTATTACTTAATTTTTGAATGTTAATTTTACACAATTCCCTAAGGGGTACTTAGTGGTCAAGGAAACTTTTTTCTTTTCCTGGAGACTTGTGTTAAATAAAATAATTTTAATACTTCACAAAATATTAGGTGCTACTTAAGAATTATATAATAACTACTTCTGGGAACCACATTTAAAACAATTTTAGCATGGTAGCTGTCATCTTTAAACTGAGTTTTATAATCAGTACTGTACTTCCTTCTCCTAGCTCCAGGCTTAAAGGAACACTCTACTAAAAAAAAAAAAACAGTTGCTGTCGAGTCGACTCTGACTCATAATATTCTACTAGAGAACATTAATTCCATACGTATTTATAGCAGCACCTGTGGAATTCAGTTACATATTGTATTCACCCCAAGTCAAATCACAGATTGTTTTCCTGATCATTAAAAATCTAAGATAACTCGAAATAGCAACAGGTAGAATCTTGGGCAGCTAAATTCTAATCACTCCTCTGCCATTAACTCTCTCCTTTGACGTTGGAAGATACCCCTCCTACCCTCCAGTCCCCCACTCCTACTTCCCACCCCGGAAATAACTCTAAGTCTCTATGGCCACTTGCAGCCATAACATTCTGTGACTCTATAAAGAAGCTTTGGGGGGAAGTATATGAAGGCAGGGTGTTGATTATAGGGGAAGTTGTACTGTGTTAGGCCAGGGTCTGCGAACTGTGGCCTGAGGGCCAAATTTGACCCACCACCTGTTTTTGTATGGCCTGTGAGCTAAGAATGGCTTTTACATTTTTACCTGGTTGGGAAAAAAATCAAAAGAATAATATTATGTGACACCTGAAAATTATGTAAAATTCAAATTTCAGTATCCACAGATAAAGTTTTATGGGAACATGTTGTTGCTGTGCACCGTCGAGTCGATTCTGAGTCATAGCAACCCTATTGGACAGAGTAGAACTGCCCCATAAGGTTTGCTAGGCTGAAATCCTGACGGGAGCAAAGTGCCAGGCCTTTTCTCCCACGGAGCCACTGGTGCATTCGAACCACCGACTTTTCAGTTAGCAGCCAAACGTTTAACCATTGTGCCACCAGGGCCCCTTTACTGGAACATAACTGTGCCCAATCATTTACGTATTGTGTACAGCTCCTTTTGTCCTACTGGAGCTGAGTAGTTGCTAAAGACACAAGACACAGTATGGCCTGCAGAGCTGAAAATATTTACAGAAAAAGTTTGTTATGCCTTTATTAGGCTACTTTCCGCCAGAGTCGCTTAGAATCTGAGGGCAGGGAAAGAAAAGTTCAAAGACTCATGGACAAGGATTGTGTTATTAGTGTTTTCCAGTGTTCTACCTTAGGAGAGGGATATTTAAGAAAAAGTCCTGTAAACCTGCTCTTATTTCAAAACAACTTATAGCCCCTTAGGTGAACAATCATTAACTGCCCTGAGCCTCAGTTTCTTTTCTTGTAAAATGATGAGGTTAATCTACTTGATCACTAAGATCCTTTCCAGTTTTAAAATTCAGAGCGGTGACAAATCATGTTTTACTTTTAATTTCATGTTCGTGTGTTACTGCTATTGCAATCTCTCTCCAGCCTCCCTGTTTACAAAGAACCCTATGCTGCCCACACATCTGAGCTCGTGCACACGTTTCTTCAGCTTGAAATATTCTGGCCTTCACCTCCTGAGCACTCTAACTCATCCCTCAAGAATCACTTAGAGAAGCTCTCCTACATCCTCAAAGCACAATGGTCATGTCTGACTTGGCATTTTTATAGAACTGTTAAAGTAGTGAGGAGCCCTGGTGATGCAGTGGTTAAGCACTCGGCTGCTAACCAAAAGGTAAGTGGTTCGAACCCACCAGCCACTCTTCAGGAGAACGATGTGGCAGTCTGCTTCCATAAAGATTACAGCCTTGGAAATCCTATGGGGCAGTTCTTTTCTATTCTATAGGGTCGGTATGAGTCAGAATCGATTTGACAGCAATGAGTTTTTTTGTAATCTTTATGGGAGCAGATCGCCAGGTCTTTTCTCCCACAGAGGTACTGGTGGGTTCGAACCTCCAACCTTTCAGTTAGCAGCCTAGTGCTTAACCATTGCAATACTCTGTCTGATCCATATTTATGCCTCTAGCACTTACTTCTGTGCTTGGCACACAGCAGACACTCATATTATGTTTGTGGAATGAATACATAAATGAATGCATATTACCTGAATTCTGAAGAATAATAAGGGAATGGGCTAGGAGGGTGTGTGGGGAGGGATGGAAGTGAAGTACAAGGGGACAGGAAATTCATGGTTCAGTAAGATATCCAGAGCCCTGGGGAAAAAAAAGATGAGGCTGATTTGTGTGATGATTTAATTCAAGGCTATCCTCAGATTCTCATTGCACATACAGTTTAGCATCTCTCTTGACCTTGCTTCAAAGTCAGTTTCTTAGTGGAGTTAACAGTGTGAGCTTCCTTGCACAGCAATCTGCTGATTAGAAGCTCTTAACTGGGGCAGATGGCAAGCAGCCACACACAGTTTGTTGCCTCTGCATCTTTGCCTGGCTCTAGGCAGAGGAGAACAACTTTATA